CTACAGACTCAATTGAAAGGCTAATTCCACTACAGACTCAATTGAAAGGCTAATTCCACTGGCTGAGATTCATTCACTAATGAATGCAACAGTGAGAGAACCTTAGTTCAGGTCCACAGGTGCTTGTGTTCAACCGAGCCTGGTTGATTGTTGCTTGGTACAAAAGTATTAAAAGAAAAAAAATTATCATTGCAAGTTTGACTTTGAAATTGATCAATGGTCTTATCCTGTGGCAAGGCATCTAAGTTTTAACTATGCTTTTTGTTGTTGTATTTTTAGGGATCCCAATAGCGTTGAAACTTTCAAAACTTACGAAGCATCGCAGAGTGGGCAGCAAATGGTCATTTTACCCAGCAAGATATCAATGAGGCCAAGCTTGCGGTTTTCCAAAGTGTAAGTTCCAGCATGTCATTTTTATATTTTGGAAATTTCCTGATTTCAACTAGAGCACATTGGGTGAAATTTTCAATTTGATAAGTCTTAATCAAATACTACTGAAATAAAACAAAATTAATTTAGTAAAATTTTATGTCACTTTTCCTCAATAAATTTCACACTATGGAAGCTAATTTGCATAATTATACCATCTAATATGTGTTTTGTAAGGATAGAAATACATTTTTTGTAATTAGAGCTGGTATTTGACCTTTGACCTGTATTGTTTTGATATGATTTACCACTGTCATCAGGTTGTCTTGATTCGTTTCTATATCACATTAATTCATTTAGTGTTGATAACAATATTCTCATTTTAGTTAATATTTTTATAAATAATGACTGATTAATCTGTTGTATTCTTTTCTCATTACAAATCTCAAACAGTGGAGGTATATCAGTTAACAGACTGCTTATGTAAACATGGATTAATCGTGGATGCAGTCTGACCTTTGGCTATGGCATTTTTTTAATATGGTCGAGGATGACCAATATGTGATTTTCCGTTCAACTGCGAGATCTAGCGAGTTGCGTGAAAGACACGCACCAAACATCTGCCTCGAAAATCAAATAATTTAATTTTGAACTTAAAAAGGCCGATTTTTGACATGGGAATATTGCATTTAGATACCATTACATGTACTTCATTAAAATTGACTATCATGAAATGTGTACAGCATATTATTAAGCATGGAAATATCCCCCAAAATACTTTCGTTTGTCAAATCTCACACGATGTTCGTCGCCACCATTACGCTATGACCTTTGTTAGTACTTTTTTTACGTTCGATTTCACGTGTAATGTGGGATCTCGCAGTGAATGGAAAGTGGTCTATTTTAAATTTAGGATTATTAAAATTTTGAAATATCACCAATTTGTTTAATATGTGTTTAGGTCATGGAAGATTTTTAACCGAAATGTGTTCTACTGCATTTTTTTTTTCCTTATAAACGTCATCTACAGGTGGATTATCCTATTGCGCCTCCAAACAGAGGAATGCTATTGTTTCTGCATGGTATTACAGATGATATGAAACAAACGCATCGCGAGCAGATAATGAATGTGACAAAAGAGGACTTAATAGAAGTTGCCAACATGTAAGTATCCACAGTTCTAGATGAACTCAAAATAGAATAGACATAATGTCAGTAGCAAAATATGGAAAAAATGATGAGTTAACTTTGTGAAAGTTGACTTGGGCATTATACAGAGAAAACAGATGAAACTCTGTTGCCTGAACAATTTTCACAGTATGTACTCCTTTGGTGTCTGACAGAAGTCAGATTCTCTGAAGTTAAAATACTTAAAACAAAAATTTTGAAATGTCACATGTCAGATCTCAGTGACAAGTGGTGAAAAGCTGCTATACGGTAGTTGGACTTTCGTATTAGTTGGACCACCTGATTTTTGCTCGTTGTCTTTTGCCTCCAGCATTTCAACCACCTGGCAGGAAATAAAAACATTTAGATGTTATCAATCTATCTTGATGTTTCTTACCATTATCAAGATATAAAACTCACCATGTCTTTGAGTTTTTCTCTCCTTTGTTTTACTCTTTTTATGTTGAATTCAATACTTCCAAAAAAAAAATTAATAATAATTCATTCACTTAAAACAAGAAACCATGTTTTTTTTCTGTCAACCTTCTAACCTTATTTTTTTCATAGACTAATAGAAAAGTTACAGTTAATCTGCTTGAGTGATAGTCTTAGTTTTAACTTTGGACTACCTCTTACAATTACTTTTATAATTTTCCTTACATTTCTGAATGTGAATTAAGCGCCAAAGTTTGTATCATGTAGATATGGGTTACATGTGATAAATATAACTTGTGTGAAAATGAATTGTTTGTTTACATAAAATATCCACTGCATAATGGCTATGGTGAAACCTGAAATAGATTTGACTGTTAGCTATTAACCTTTTCACCACCAGACTTTCTCGCCCAAATTTAAATGCACGGTTTTCTGATATTCTTCAATATTTCTGGAAATGAACCCCTATTTTGGAGCCAACGGACAAAATTTAAGTCCATTTTCAGTTTTTAATCAAAAAATTTGGCTATTTTTGTCCCAGTCTTCTGAAGGAAAGTACAGACTATAAACGGGACTATTTTGTGAATTTTTGACAAAAGGAAGAAACTGGTAGTGAAATATGATAAATCTTACTCTATTGTTAAAACCAAGATCCAATATGAAACAGAACTATTTAAATCAGCATAAACATACTCAAAGTTATCCATAGTGACTTGTGCTTTACACATACCGGTGCTTATTATTACAGATATCTGGTAACAGGCAGCCGTACTGATGGCAAAGCTTTACTAGGACCAGAAAATGTTGTAACAGCCAATAAAAAAGACTGGCTGCGTGTCATCGATGGCTCACCAGGTTACGTGTATACAAATATAGAACATGAATGAGGTAAGGCCACATTTTTGAAAATGTAATTTCATCAGCAAGTAAACAAAATGGTCAAACTTTTGTTTTCAACAGCCATATCTGGCAAAACTGAATTTCATCACCACCAAATCAAGATACAGTGAATTCTATGACTGTAATTGTACTGGTGTGTTTTACCATTTTTTTTTTTTTGTGGTTTTATCTCTGTCATAGGATGAACAAGAAAAAAAAGACCAAGCAGTGAAATTCTTTTTTTTTTGCTGAAAAAATTATGTTCATAGTGTAGTGTAGTACATATATATTGTAGCAGTTTTGAAGTGTATTTATGTTGTCTTAAATGTACACCAAGTTCATGTTTCTTGAGTAATTTGACAAGTCTGGACCAAGTTTATAACTCACCATGTATCCAATTCAAGCAACACCAAGTTCAAGGACGTCTTTCAAGTTTACAAGCCTGGTCCAAATTTACAAGCGTTTATGAAATTTAGAAATTTGCTGGCATTTTAAACATTCATTTAGTTTGTGGATTTTCAATTCAACAATCAAATTACTGAAATATTACCAGGTAGATTTAGATATTTATAGGCAGATTCTGAAGAAACATTTGCTAGATTTAAATTCAACAGATTTCAAATGCATATTAAATTTGCTTAACAATGTACATACAATTTGCATTTTAATTTGCATAGTCAATTTACTTATAGTTTTTGCATCACCAAATGATTGAGTTTCAATATCTTAGTGTGTCATTACGACACTAAATATCAGACATATCAGATTGCATATGCAATTAGCATATATAGGTGCAAAGACACTGTAATCCATGCTATCAATTTTCAAAATATAATTACTGTAAAATACTTTATTTTAGCTGGAATTAATTTTCTCTGAAAAGACGTTTTGGGTTTTTGTATGGAATTTATTTTCACTGATTTTTGACGAGTTTAATGTAAAATATAGGAAAAATAGTATATTCGGTGGATTTTATTTTCATTGAATCATTCCTTCAGCTAAAAAAGCGAAAATTATTAATTCCAAGCAAAATAAAGTATTTTACAGTATTTCATACCAAACTAATCATGACTGAATAATTGTACTGCTACTTGACCCTCAAAATGTAAGTTATTTTTGTTTGTACGTGTACGGTCTAGATGATCATTTGGGAGGTGATGTTTTGTTTCTTCTGCTGTCCGAACAATGTTTGTCCTAAATTAAATGTTAAAGCATAGGTCCAAGCAGAAAAATCTAAGAAAGATGACAGTTTGAAAAACAAAAAAAAGTGTAATTCTGTGATCCTTAATTAATTAATAATTACATGGTTGAAATATTGGAGGAGAGAAATTTTTGCTGTTACAGTAATATTAATATTAATGGAGGAACATGAATATTAAATATTGTTATTATGATTACCTCATCGTTGTTTTTCCTTTTTGGTCAGATTCGTTCCCACCTAATTTTTATTCAGTATTTTTCTTGTACAATTATAGATATATTAGTGTACTGTTTCAAAGTTTTAATTTTAAATTCCACTATGCAAGGAAATGATCGTAGCAGCCAGTGCATCTTTAGTATCTATTCTTGATTTGAATTTTTATTTAATATCTTGATTTTCAAGTGGCAAGGTTGTAATAGTTATGCTATGTTATATACAGGTTGTTTGGACTGCAATATTTTCTGAAATACACTTTTTGCTATTTCGTTAAGTAGCGCCCTTGATGATGTAATGCTTCTATGGCATTAAAATTTACTTGGTTATGTAGTTTAGTATCATATTCAATTATTCAATATAACATCTCTAACAGTATTTGTGTTATTAATGGTCCATCTGAAATCAAAACAATACAGTGCTCAAAGTGGCGTAGTTTGCATCCATTAATTTTGAAATCCAACATGGCTGCCGAGATCTTGCATATTGCATGAAAGACGCAAACATCTGCCGCAAAAATCAAACGATTTGATTTTGAACTCAAATTTCTTTTTTTCATAGCTCAAAGTCGAAAGGCCGATCTTTGAAAGGGGATCTTCCGTTTAAATACCATTATTTCATTAAAATTGACTATCATCAAATGTGTACAGCATATTATTAAGCATGGAAATATCACCCACAATACACGATGATTTGTTGAATCCCACGTGATGTTTGGCGCCACTACGAGATTATGACTATTGTTCGTCCTGTTTTTAAATTTGATTTCACACGTATCGCGGGATCCCGCAGTGAACGGTAAATTGTCTATTAAGCAATTTGTTTACTACTTCATTTTGTTTTGTATTGCCTACCAGCACTACCGGTATTATTGGATATTTTCAGTGTATCGCATAGTGAACCAATTTTGTATCTTTTCAAGAAGGTAGCATTTGAAGATCAACAATTAACTTTATTAATCAGCTCGGGTCCAATTTATTTCACAGTACTCTGAGTAATTTGAAGTGCAAAAAAGACCATGTATCAGTGATTAAAAAGTGTATTATGTAAATTAGGTAATAAATTAATTTTGTGCATTTTAAACTGAAAATTAGTTTTTAAAATAATTTGAAATCAGTTGCATTGTTATTTACTCTGTATGTATATGCGATGTTACCATGGAAATTATTTGAATTGACAGCCATCTTGGCAGACAAAATAAAACCTTGCATGTGAATCATAGAAAACACAGATTCCATGACAGCGCCATCTATAGAATTTTTTCAGTGCTTTTGTTTTTTACTGTTAAAGTGTATGGATTTACAAATTGTTTTTTTATAACTAGAATATAATTGATAGACAATATGTTTTAAATTCTTCTGCGTGTTTTGAAATGTTTTTTTCTTTTCTGTTATCAGTAACTTTGTTGAATAGTAACTTTGATTATATGTGTAATTTATTTATCATGTGTTTATTTCATTCTAGAGTTTACGTTTGAAAAGTACAGTACTAAGTACACATGTTATGTAAACATGTGTTTTTTATAGAGTTTAATACTTATGTATGCATTTCTTTAAAAAAAGCTTATTTGGCTCAGAGATGTTTCTGCTTCTGGCATTATTTTCAATGTATGGCCAATATCTGCAAAGGTTCATACCTACATGTACAGTGTGTCCCCAGTACGCTGAAACGAAACGATATATCAGTAAACTTGTCGTAATTTTAGTGAATGTAAAGACCCGATATCCAGGTAGACTTGTCGTATTTTAAATTCTTTTGCAGAAAAGATGAAAGATTTGAAGTATTCTCGGGGGCGGACATCCGGGCATTTTCACCGCATGGCAACCATCACGGTGGAAAACAAAGGCCGGAAACTCTCGGAAAACGGTACTTTGGGATGGTTGTTGAGACTCCCCTGAACAGTGTAACAAGATTACCCCAAGATTATGTGTATCGCATATAAATTTGATTGTTTAAGATTACTTAAAAGTTGAAAGCCCATAGAAATACGTGATACAGTGGTGCACGTTTTAGCAATGTGGACGTCCCCAAGTATAGTCAAATACACTGTAGCGCTCTCTATCAAGTAATGTTATGTTTATCTATAGTAGACCTGCATTTTTGTGGTATAGACGACTTTCCTGGAAGTTGAAGATACATCATTTTGCATGCGTGCAACTGCTGTTTTGGGGTGTAACGTAAACTTGCACGCATGATATTGTGCTTGCAGGTGTACCAATCGACGTCATTAGAGTAAAATTCCCTTCTATCGACTATCAGAAACTGACATGTTTTTTTTTCAGCCATGACAAAGCAGTATTTTTGCACCCAGTCTCGCTAATTCCGGGAAAGTAGTCTATGAATTCTATACTTTGTGCAGACTTATCTTGTACCTGACAAATTCTGTTAATTCAACAAATTGAGAACAACAATCAACAAATTATTGTTGTTCAGTCTTGTAGTCAGTCAGTTATAGTTAAAATAAATTTCTGCAATGTCTGATAGAGGGCTCTATAACAAGTGATGTCATTTGTAGTTATCACAATGGTCAGGTGATTATACTGCTTTATACCTTGAATTTTTATGCAAACTTAGATATAATAAAATACAAGTGTAATTATAGAAACGGTGTAAAGTGATTGTTTAATCATTATTCGTCTAAGCACATGCTCTGCACAATTTGTTCAA